CAAAAGCGTGTAATCACACAAAACGCTGAACAGAACACAGTTTTGTACAGACTATTCCCTTTCTGATCTCTAACTGTTAAAGTATTTTGTTTCCCTTGATGGAGTATATGAGAAAGTGGTTGGAAGACTGCGGACATCAAGAAGTGGGGTTACCACGCTGCCAAGGAGAGATGAAAGACCTTGTCAGAAATTGCAAAAATCTGACCGGATATAAGATGGAGGATTGGGATGGTTACATGGATTGATATGTGTGTGTTTTGTATTGTTCTAATAAAAAAAAAATGTTTCCCCTTGATGAAGAAAATAAACAAAAATATGATTTTGAGTTGTGAAATCAAGAACAAAAGCTTTCTTATTTTTTGTATTCATGCAAAGATCATGTAAACAGAAATCATCATCGTGCTCATGCTCTAGCAGCCATGACTTTTTTATGCTTTTTCATCAGAAAGTGGAGAAGCAAAAGGCAGGACAGTGTGTGATAAAGGTTAAAGTTATAGTCCCAGGAGTCCATCATCGGGAGGCAGAACGGTACTGGTTTCCCTCAGGTCCTCCACCTCCAGGTACTGGGGTAGAGTGGGCTGTCGAGTGAGATGAGGAGCCCTGACAGAAGGTGGGTAGACTCCCTCTGGGACCCTGCAGTAGGGGATACTGGGACAAGGGCAGGGGTGGCTGGTCCTCAAGGTGGGTAAGTCTGAGCAGTGAAAGTTTGAACCCGTATCTGGTGTGGCCGTATCCCCTGGAGGTCCACTGGGGGTTGACCACAGAGAGTCAGTGTAACTGACACAGAGAGTAAGGACCTCGGTTTTACATCTCATCCGAAGGACAGCGCCTGTTTACAGTATAGTGTCCCCATCACTATACTGGGGCATTAGGACCCACATGGACCACAGGGTGAGCGCCCCCTGCTGGCCCCACTAACACCTCTTCCAGCAGCAACCTTAGTTTTTCCAAGGAGGTCTCCCATCCAGGTACCGACCAGGCTCACACCTGCTGAGCTTCAGGGAGTTGCCAGTTGTGAGTTGCAGAGTGATATGGCTGCTGGAAATATTGAATATTGAAATATTACAATATGGAACTACTGGCCAACAATCGCTGGCAGACTTCCTGGGGATCTAGGTCTCCTTCCTGACTCTCCTCCCACAGGGACATGGACTCAGTTACTGCAATGTGGCGATTCACAAAAGGAGGAGACCTGGTCTTTCCATCCTCTCTCTATGGCAGTCACTCTGTTCCCTGACCTGGTCCCTTTTCTGCGCAGACAGACCAAGGTCCGGTGAGCTCAAAGCCACACACCTGTTAGAGGCAAGCATTCTTCCAGGTGAGTGTCCTCGCCTGACTCCCACTGTCAGCCTGCCATAGTGGAGTTAGTCCGTCTTCTTCCCAAAACCCTACTCTCATCACAAAGAAGGCTCCACAGCCCAAGCGTTTGTCTCTTCATGCAAATATACTGTAACGTTGAGGGATTCACTAGGACAGTGTGGAGGGTCACAATCTGGAGGAGACTTCCGAAGGCTCATGAGTGTTTCTTTATTGCCCTTTTATTTTCTAAATGATAAGGCAATGAAGAGGTTGAGGTGAAAGAGAGTGAAAAGGGGATTCCTCTGGGTTTTTTTTTTTTGGGGGGGGGGTAAAAGGTAGGAAGAGGTGAGCCTAAGGGGAAAGGATAAAATTCACTGGCAGAACATTACAATTCTGTGTTGAATCGGCCCAAACCTGGTTCGGAGGAGAGGACAGTGATGGAGAATAAGCAGGAGACAGGTTTGCAGCTTCACAAAGGCAGTTTATGACCCTTTTAGTGATAGAGGAAGGAGCTGATAGTCAGGGGAGATATAAAGAGAGACTGTGGGTGGAGATAAAAAGAAATGGGGGAGCACAGTCTCTCACAGTTTGCCAAGTGGTGCAATGGGGGGTGAACGTTAAGAGGACGCCCCTCTGTCACGGACGTCCAAAGGGACTACCCGAGGGCAGCAGGAGAGCGGAAAAGGACCCATATGCGTAGCGGCGAGATGGGAAAAAGGCCCAGGCTCGTAGTGCAAAGAGTTCAGGAATGCTGTATAGAAACCTATGCCCTCAGGTAGTGGACGTGGGGCGACCTGGTGCTAGGCGGGTCTCAGGACACCCGAACGTCAATGCTGAGCCACAGCAGAGTGCAAGACCCGGAAATATATAGCCCAAGGGAAAGAGAGGGACCGGAAGGACAGCAGACCGGAAACTAGGGACAGGACAGAGAAGGAGCGCCCTCTGGCTGCAGAGGGCGTGACACCCTCCAATAAAGGGCATGAAGCTTATATAGGGATTGTAAACTGCAGTTCAAGGTCACGGGGCAATGATCCAGTCCATAACTCCGGTGGGGAGGGGGCAGACGCTCCAATACTATTACAGAGTTCTTCTGATATTACCGCATACACCACAAAAGTCAAAAAAGGTCTCGATTGCCATAACTCGAGAAAATAATTTTGCAAGAGAATGACTTGTCTGTTGTTGTTTTTTGCACACGGCCTGTTGTCTCTGTCTTTCTTTTGCTACACAATTGTATTGCTGTTGTTGTTGTTGTTGTTTTTTTTCTCTTTGTACTACTTATGTCCGAGAGCTAGCTAAATAGCATTTCGTTATACCATATACCATGTATAGGAGTGTAATGACAATAAACTTGAAACCTGAAACTTGAAACTTGAAACTTGTTTCTTCATCGCCACAGAATTCCATAGCGACTGTGCTCAATATTTCTGCCTGAAGAAGGTTTGCAGAGCTTTAGATGTAGACACGGGCAGAGTGGTGGCTCTGTGGCTAAGGATCTGCATCTCTGGCTGGAAGGTTACTGGTTCAAATCCCACAGCTGGCAGAGGAATCCAACTCTGTTGGGCCTCTGAGCAAGGCCCTTAACTCCAGCTGCTCCAGGGTGCTGTATAAATGACTGAGACTGTACTCTAACCCAAGCTTCTCTCCCTATCTGTGTGTCTCATGGAGAGGAAGTTGGGGTATGTGAAAAGACAAATTCCTAATGCAAGAAATTGTGTATGGCTAATAAAGTGATCTTATCTTATCTGTGTGACAGTGTGGGAAACCGCTTTGTAAAAACGACTCTTAAGCGGTCTGTCCTACAGCTTGTGGATGCAATATCAGATGTTTCATAATACGCCACTAGTGAAAGGGTGCTGTTTTTCCAGCGTATATATTGCACAGCATAATAGCAAACGACAAACCTCATTAAAACTGTCATTTGCCATTTTGGCCAGAGTAAAATATTGAATTAAAACAAAAATAACGATGAAATAATAATAATTGCTTACACTTATCTAGGGCTTTTCTGGACACTCCACTCAAAGAGTGGTAATGGGGACTCCCCTCCACCACCACCAATGTGCACCACCCACCTAGATGATGCGACGGGAGCCATAGTGCGCCAGAACACATCAGCTATCAGTGGGGAGTAGAGCAGAGTAATGAAGCCAATTCATAGATGGGGATTATTAGGAGGCCATGATTGGTGAGGGCCAATGGGAAATTTGGCCAGGATGCCGGGGTTACACCCCTACTCTTTTCACAAAATGCCCTGGGTTTTTAATGACCACAGAGTCAGGACCTCGGTTTCACGTCTCTTCCAAAAGACAGTGCCTGTTTACAGTATAGTGTCCCTGTCAATATACTGGGGCATTAGGACCGAAATGGACCACAGAGTGAGCACCCCCTGCTGGCCCCACTAACACCTCTTCCAGCAGCAACCTTAGTTTTTCCCAGGAGGCCCCCCAACCAGGTACTGACCAGGCTCACACCTGCTTAGCTTCAGTGGGCTGCCAGTTGGGAGTTGCAGAGTGATATGGCTGCTGGCTAAAATGGTTCAATCAACCAGATTATTTTTGACCACTGCGTCGTCCAGTTAATTCACAATACCATTGCCAGCGTTATTCTCAGGCAGTTAAATACACTAGCATTGTACGCATTGTTGCTCCAGAAGAGGCTTTGGGTTTCTATACCGGAGTACCACCTTAAATTCACAGCTGCCGTCTTCTGCCATCGTTTGCAAAAACTGCGCTGAGCTGCGCAGAATCTGCAAAAAAATCCTGTACGTGGGGTTTGTTGCGTCACGCAGGAGCCCTGGCAGAAAAACGCCGATCGCAGCAGAGTTTGTGCAGAACTGCGGAACCAAAAATCACGTGATTCCCGAATATATCTTGTGACCCGGACTATCTCTACAGTAAGAGATGGGTAAAGGAGCTCGCCGGGTGTTTCTAGTTGGTATTATAGTACTTCTTTTTCCTATTTGTGCTGTTCCTGGCAATTCGCAAACTGTGTACAAGGTCAGAAAAGAATACAAATATTTTCGATATGGTTATGCTTGTTAAAACGTAATGATACTTCACTATTTTCAAAAATCTGAAATAAATCTGTACGGTACTCGTAATTTGGAAGCCTATCGTAACGTAATGTGTATGTAATTATGATTATCTTAATCGTATGTTTTGGGATTATGCTATGATTAAAGGCGCTATGTATAAGGTTTGCTTTTAACGATGGTAATGTTAAATGTCATTACAAACGACGTTGATGTATAATAAAATTACATTATACGACATACACATTGATATATGTACTGTATATATGATAATATATATTATATATATGATGATATAGCTACAGTACTGCAAAATGTGTTTATGACAACTTCCTTGAGCAAAACAAAGTGTTGTGCCTTTTGTTAAAAAATATTGGTGACTAAAATCTCGGAGATAACAGAATTATGAGATGCAACCTGAACTTCAGCCACAAATAAGGAACTTGAAGGGTGCTGAGAGCTTTCTTGCTGCTACTAGCCAGAGAGGTTTTGTGTGTTACCACCTATAAGAGTAGTTCAGATAATCCCATTTTGTTCAGTACTAAAACGTTTGCTTTTAAATGTCTATATTGGTCAGGAAAGAAGAGCTGTAATTAGGTGAGTCAAAAACTGCTCATTATTAATTTTGAATTGTGAGGCTGGTAAGGTGGTTGTAATATTTTAAAAAAGTGTTTTGTTCAATCCACTGGCAGTGCTTTTAAAAGGAACAAGTTCAAACCACAATTTAAACACTGAAACACAAACTAGAGGACACAGCTGGAAACTGCATGGAAGCGCATTGCGCATTTAAGACAAGTGCGTTTAAAACCAAGAACAGGAGACACCTCTTTACCTTTCTTCATTTAAGAACTGTGGGAGTATGGGACAACCCACCTGGCCATACAGTGGAAGCCTTGAATCCGATGTCTTTCAAAAAACCTCTGGATGAGATCCTTGGATCGATCAACTGCTAATCACCAAAGGGGCTGGATCGGCCGAATGGTCTCCTCTTGTCTGTGACCTTTCTGATGTTCTTATTTCAATTGCGCCATAAAGATGGTGGGTTCCTGTTGTCTTTGCCTGTGTGATAGGTGTGTAGCCGGTGTGAGGGGGATCTGCGGAATGGCACAGCAGTGGGCGATCTCTGCCGGTCGAACAGCAGCCTTGAGAGGGAGGGCCGCTGCTGTCTGCAGAAGCAAGCTTTGCCCAGCCCCATTATCGGGTAAGGAGTTTGGCGGCTGGTGTGAAGCATAGACTGTCTGGTCCTCCTTCATTTCACAAAGAATTTCCTAGGAGGAAAATATAAGTTGTATCACCAGCAGCCATGTCACCCTGGACCTCCCAACTGGCACCCCACTGAATCTCAGCAGGTGTGAGCCTGGTCAGTACCTGGAGACCTCCTGGGAAAAACTAAGGTTGCTGCTGGAAAAGGTGTTAGTGGGGCCAGCAGGGGACGCTCACCCTGCGGTCTCTGTGGGTTCTAATGCCCCAGTATAGTGACGGGGACACTAACCGTAAAAAAGGTGCCGTCCTTCGGATGAGACGTAAAACTGAGGTCCTGATGTTCTGTGGTCCCAGGGCATCTCTCGAAAAGAGTAGGGGTGTAACCCCAGCGTCCTGGCTAAATTTTCCATTGGCCCTTACCGATCATGGCCTCCTAAATCCCCATCTATGAATTGGCTTCATTCCTCTGTTCTCCCCCCCACTGATAGCAGGTGTGTGGTGAGTGTACTGGTCCACTATGGCTGCCGTCACATCATCCAGGTGGATGCTGCACATTGATGGTGGTGGAGGGGAGTCCCTATTACCTGTAAAGCACTTGTGGAGTGGATTGTCAGGAAAAGTGCTATATAAGTGTAAGCAATTATAATTATTATCTGGCACCGTGGCACGTCCTGTTAACTTACTGATCTTTGAAGACAGGTTATCCACCCATCCATCTTCTAATCACTTTATCCAGTACAGGATTACGGGGGGAGCTGGATCCTATCCTGGCAAGCAATGGGCACAAGGCAGGAAACACCCTGGATGGGATACTAGTCCAGTGCAGTGCAGACACACACACTCACACCAGTGCCTGTTGTCCCAAAAGCCAGTGAACCTACTACATACTGTACTACATGTGTTTGGACTGTAGGTGGAAACTGGGGCAGCTGGAGGAAACCGAATTGAACATGGGGAGAACATATAAACCCCATTCAGATAGCACCCCAGGAATTGAACTCGGAGTCCCACTGCTATGAGAGAGCAATGCTAACCACTGTGCCACCATGCCGCCCAAGACAGAATAGTAGAAGTAAATGCATCTGTAGGTGCAGGGGAAAATTGTCACTTGGGTTGAAAGGTGTTTTCTTAATTTTCAGTAAGTCAAAGTCAATGTTTCGAATTGGCTGTAACCCAACTAGATTTCACTGCCTAGCTTTTGTGTGTTATACCTATATATATTCTATGAGTTCCTGCTTTATTTTTGTGGGTTGTGATACAATGGGGACAAGAAAATAGGTAATCGGTATCAAATATAAAACCATTAAATGTCATTTGCACTTCTTGTTTGGCAGGTGGAGTAGTTCAATTCATCTTTTTTTTTTCATAGGTTAGACCTATGGAATTGCTCTCTAACGCAAGTTGAAGATCTACATGAGGCTTCTGCAGCTGTTATAATGTAAGTTTAGGAAAATTCTTTTTTTTGTGGAGCGTGTTTTAAAAAAATAGCTAAAAGGTTTTGGATAAACATATTCTAGAATCCCGCACTAGTATTAGTAATAATCTTTAGTTGCATATGCAGTTTGTGAGCCCTTGCCTTTGGGGAGGTATGTCGGTTCCAAAGGCTTGAGCAAAGCCGATCTCATCCCTTGCTGTTTATTTTATACAGAGACCTCTCGGACAACCCCTTAATGAACATTTCTGAGTCAGCATTTCAAGGATTTACAAGTTTGCGGTATTTGTAAGTAATCCAGTCCTGCTTTTCTATGCTGAAGCATTAAGATAATGGGATTCATTTATGTGTTATTTTTGATTCTTATATCAGAAAGTAGTAAGGCTGCTGTTACGTTAGTACAACTGTTGCCACTCTATAAAACATTGTCTGGGGATTAGAAGATCGTGATACTGCAATGAATACTGGCATTTTTTGCAGTGTAAACAAGTTTCATCATGTAATAGGAATCACCTTTCCACCACTTAAAAGTATACTCCACTCTTTTACTTCAACTATATTGTTACTTTAAAGGGGTGTTACTAACTTGTGCTCGTTGCTTGCCACGATGAGCCCTGGCTCCTGCACGATCCTGTTGTTTAAAGTGGTTTAGAAAATGGGAATTTGGTTATGATATCCGCTCATTGAGTAAAAGCAATTTTTATTAAACCATAAATAGTTCTGTAGTACAGACGTGGGTCATGTGGCTCTTTTCATTTTCTTTGAAAGGTTTGGCGTTGCAGAAATGAGGAGGCAGTATCTTAAAAGACAAATATTTATTAAGCGAGCTTATCGCCAATCAAGAGCCGTTTAGTCAAATATTTACACCAACTAGGACATACACAATACCTTAAAATGCACAACTATTTGTAGACTCTTATTTAAAATGGGGGTTCTGACAGTGCATTACTATGAATCTCTCCCCTAGACCCCAAACTTTAAGTTAAAGAACAAACAAGTGGACATACATGTTTGTAAGGGTACATTGGACTGTTTTCATAAATATGTTCTCTATCGATGAACCCGCTCCCGAAACAGAGGCTAAAACAATCTTTGGTCCAACACAAAGATGATCCAATTAATGAATCTGAAAAGCTCCTCCTGGATTTACATACAGTAATTAAGAAAGTACTGATCATTTCCCTAAATTTACATGACATCCCATCAGTATTCAACACCTCATAGATTTAAATTAATCTAGGAGGAATCTACAGATATCTGGGTGGTGTAGGCCAGCTTCCTCATTCATATTTCTTTCCCTGCTCTCCTGCTGAAATATTCACTTGCTTTCTTTCTGTTCCTTGCTGTCTGTAATGCATGTACTGCACAGTAGAAACCAGAACAGAGTAAGATGACTGCAGTTTGTACTTGTGGATGGCTGGTCTTTTCCCACGTGTCTGTGTTGTGTGGATATTTTCCTAAGAAGAATGAAATGAGCCTGGAGGGGAGATTAATGGTTTTGTCTCTGTTCTAGAGCGTTGCCATCAAACCTGGAGTGCCCTGGGGGGAACACATCATGGGAGCATGTAGAGTTAATAGGAGAGACTGTGATGTGTGAAGGCCAGAAGAATGCCTGTAATGGAACTGAAGTTGTGTGTATGTCACAATTCGATTCTAAAACTGATACCATTGACTGCTTTTGAAGCTCTGAGATAAAAGTGCATTTTGTTTTCAGATTCTTCTCTCTCATATCCTTACTGTGTTTTCCAACATTTTCTCTTCCAAATGTTATCAAGTTCAGCATTTCTAAATGAACGTCTGGCTTGATATGAAGATAAAAATATGGATGTCTTTATTGTATTGTGTGAGTCAAGGGTACTGTTAGAAAATAGGTTCCATAAAGACAACTAGTAACAGAGAAGTAAAACGCTTAATGACTAACCCAAGTATAAAGCCTGAAACCTAAAGATATTGAACTCAGTCTTTCAATTAATAATCTAAAGCAGTGGTTCTCAGTCCTGGAGTGTCTCTGAGTCTCTTCCAAACATACCTATAATCTCCAGTGCTAATTTGTGGCTTTAAGTGATTTGTTTGCAGTCTAAACAAGGAAGCAGATCAGTTACTGACATCAATTAGCACTTGTGATTAATGGCCCAGCTGAAACAAAAAATAGCAGATATATGGATAACCCAGGTCCAGGCATGATCTAAGAGTGAACCATTGAGCTAAAGAGTGAATGATACCCTGTACATACAGATTTTTAAACATTTTTTAGAAAAAAAAATCCATTTCTAATATTAATATAATTTCAGCCTGGTTTTGTCCTGAAAACTCACTCTGCAAACCTGATGGCCCTGGTTTGATTCAGTGTAACTGTGCAGAAAACTTCCATGGATATAAATGTCTCAGAGAGGTAAGAGGTTTTTCTCTTCAGTATTGGTGTGAAATATGGACTCCCTAGGGCAGCAACAATGTTAACAAATCACTAATCAACATGAATAATCTTGATACTTGGTGTAAATAAAATTTAATATTTTCTTTGCCCTGGTACGAAAGATAACGTGATTTACAGGAGCACATGATAATCAAGTTTCATTTTGTAAGACTTATTGTACCTATTTGCGATTTTACTAGATGCTTTCAAGCAGCTTGAACTATGTATTGTACAGGAAAGTTATGAAACCTGGTTGTGATTATTTGACTAAAACATTCCATGTTTTCAACTCACTGTTATAGCAACCTGTAAGTATTTACTGGATGTCGTGCCAATGGATAAAACTCTGTTCTCTGATGTCGGCAGAAAATTTGAGTTTATCAGTTTGGTTAGCAGTTATGTCTTACAGGCACATTCAAGCTCATCTTTGATGGGTGAAACAGACATCTACTGAAATCGGATTCACTGTGGGCTAATTTGTTTTATTTGATTTGACAAGATTTAAAACCCACAAAGCATCTCAGGGACATTATCAGTCTTTACAGTATAATGATCTTTGAAAGTACCCTCAGACTCCAGCACAGCTTGAGTGAGGTCACAGGTCATTCCCCAATGTCAGGTTTTAACTCTGATGGCATTAGAGGTTTTAAAGCAAAATAGTTATCACTGCAAGGGGTGTACATACCTCATCTTGACACTCTGATGTCTTTGCAAGAGACGTTATCCTTAGTATGAGAGCATTTGATTCAAAATCAAGTGTGAATAAATTGCTTGTAAATAAATGAGGTTTAGTAACTATTTACTGCTGAAAACTAAAACTGAATACTAGGTTGAGAAATGAAAAAATATATTTATGAGGTGAAAGTATAAATCTCATCTTAGATGTTATGTTCTAGGAGTGAACATTTAAGTTCCTTGATCTTCCTTAGATTTATTTTAAGGTGTGTATATATGTATATACATTTTGCTAATTTTGTTGGTCACTTTAGAATTGTGTCCTTAAACATGGGGAACACGATAAAGTGATCTCATTAAGTAAACATTTAGGCTTTTGAACTGAGGGTTAAGGTGTGAAAAACCAAATGCCCTTCCAGCTCTACAGTCACACTGTATATCTCAGTTTTACACTGAAATGCAGTAATAACTGTGGTTGTTGTGAGGCTTAAGATTTTGGGTAATTTCCATCATGTTCACCGGTTTTTAATGTTTCCTAATAAAGATGTAACATTAATTTGTAGTTTCCAAGGCTTCAGATAACAGTAATTTTGGACTACAACTGACCTTAGGTAAAGAAGTCTACTGCTAATCCCAATCTTTAAGATCACTCTTTTTTTGTAATAGAATCAGCATGGGGAGGATGCATTTATAGGCACCTAGTTTATTCAGAATAAGCAAATGAAGTTGGATTTGTTTTGTCAAAACCGGTTCATACATTCTGATAATTAATTTGATAATCTTCCTAATTTGCTCAGTAGCAAGTTGGAAGTGGAAGTTGGCTAAGCACTATACAACTTAAGAGAGAAATTTGAGGCATAATGAAGAAGTTGCTCAACAGCAAAATAAAAATAAGTACTTTGAAAGATATTTTGCCGTTCCTTGAAATGTGTGAAGCAATTCACTTACATGACAAATACCAGGAATATATTGACATGAAACCAGGTTAGTGTTCATGACCTCTGAAGTATGTCTCCCCGTTTTGCTTTCCCTGCAGGGTATGTTCCCCATGCTGAAAGTGTTTGGAATTCTGGGAGTGGCCACAGTTCTGGTCTCAGCTGTGTTGTGGTTCACTCAGCGGCGAAAGGCCAAATCGTTCTGATCTCCTGTTCATCAGCCTGAGAGAAGGCATGCTGGGATCTATGACACACAGGCAGCTTTATAAGAGATGAACAAGCTGGACATAAAATTACTACGATGTTACTCAAAAACAAAGTGTGTTGGGAAAGGAATTTCATATTTCATAGTTTTTAAGTTCTGCTATGGAAGGTAATTACGGTGAACTGACAGCAGGAAAGCTCTATGAATTTGCAAACCCACAGTTATTGATGAGAGTGAACCTGAGGGGATTTTTTGTATTTTCCTGGAAAGTACCATTTATTGAATCATCAGTTACTAGCACAGGTGCCTTGAATTACCAAACAAAATGTGAAATTAACAGTTTAAGAATATATTTTGGTTATTAAAGTTCCTGTCACTTGAATTTTGACTTATTAGATGCTTTGTTCTCTTTTCTCAGTAAGCATTAATGTTAAACATCTGGAAAAGTTAACTTTTGCTTATATCAAATGTGATATAATACACAAGGTCAAGGCACTAAAAGATTTAAAACGAAATGTGATACAAAATGCAAATACATAGTGTGACACAAGATCCTCCCAGACTGTTTACAGGGCTCATGATGCAACATTTAAACAAAGTGAAGACATAGCTTGGTGTGTATTTTGTTTGCTGCATAAAACTGTCAAAACTGGTTAATCTCGTATAGTATTGTCTACCTAATAACTTTGATGTGAAAAGATAAACAGTAATAGATTGCATTCTGTCTAGTGTGACAGGTCTGCAAGTGAAAACTTCATCAGGAGAAGACAGTGGATGGGCTGTAAATGTTTCTGTGCAAAATGTATATAATATAAATAGAAAATAATGTTCAATGTATTGTACAGTTGGACTAAAAAATGTCAATGGCGTATGCCATTAAACTTCAATATTGTGATCTGAAGCTTGGTTGTGTATTTGTCCTAAGAGGTTCTGAAACAATGCTTCAAAACGAAATGAAGTATGAAGACGTCCAACTATGAAAAATTAGTGAATGATGAAATATGAGTGATCAGTCTATTTGGTGACTGCTGAAGTCTTTTTAAAATGCAGTAAAATTACACCTTCTCAATTCCAGAGAAATACCATGGCCAAAACAATCGTAGAGGAGGTTTTGCCAGATGATTATGGAGATTATAGGTTTCAGTTTGGTGTATGTATATTTTCACCAAAGTCATTTCAGTTAAATTCCTGAGCTTCAGTCATCCAGTCAGTTAACATTAAAGTACATGTCAAGTTCTTAAGAACCTGATACCACCAGCTGACTGTGATCTGGATTCTCTCCCAAATGGCACAGAGGTCATCGACAGAGTCAAAACAAAATGTTGATTCCGACTTGCATGGGTATAGGAAGTTGCTGATTGTATGCAGTTTCACAATGAAAAACTGATAGAACACTAAGATTTTAGGGGACTATTGTACTTGAACCCTTGCCGAGCTGAGAGTGCTTCAAGCACTCATGTCCAATCCACACGAAGAGATAAAAATGGGATGAATTGTATAACAGGAACAAAAAACCCCAAAACAAAATAAAATGATAAAGCTTAATGAAGACTGAAGTCTTTTAAACAACTGCAACACAGTAAAAAGCAAGTCACTGTGGATAGTAGCTCTTGGACTAACCAACCAATCCCAGCACACCAAGCAACACACAGCAGCCTTCACCAGACAGAATCACCACAGTATAACAGTCCATCTGGATTTTTTAATTTACTCTCAGGTTTTAGTGCTGGATTTGTTCCAATTTGCTATTCCAATGGAACTCTGATTGTTATTCTCACACCTGAACTCATTTTACTGTTGTTACTTTAAACTGATTTAATAGGGAGTATCAATAGGTGGAAACCTTTTTCCCAGAAGACCTATCAAAATAGTGTGAAATGGATTGGAACGCTCCTCCTTTAGGATCCAAAATTTATTTATAAATGTATAAATTAACTTTGGCTTACTCTGTAGAACAAATGACATCTGATCTTCAAAATCTGATTTCTGTCGGCCTATAATAATTTTCATATGAAGTATGAAGTCTTGAGCATAAGGACAGTGCTTTAATTAGAAGTTCAACTGCAGTTAAGTACAAATAAATGCAATACACCTGCATCCTCCATGGCTGCATTCTTTTTCTATTAATTGATCATTTTAAATATTTAACAGTGATGTAACTGCTAGAAATAAAATGCTTTGATATAAATATCATGCATTCTTTTAAAATTTCACTAAAGGGAAAAAATATGTTTTTCCTTGTCATTAAGCATGGATTCAATTTCACTTTTCCCAAGTAATATACATACTTGCTTTGGTCATGATACAAACCAAATTAAAAAAAAAAAATCACACATTGAGATAGAGCAGCTGTAACACCTTCAGTGCTCCAAGTGCTCCTTTACTGATCTACATTCTTCACACGCAGTACCACAGGTACAGAAGTGCAGGGGATCATGCCCAAGTCTGTGATCACTAGATCCACAAAGTCTGGTGGCGTGACGTCGTAGACCAAGTTCAAAAGGCGGAGTGAGCTTATTTCCTGCCATTTCTCCAGCTGCGTATTTCCTTTCCGTGTCACAATCAGGTCATCTGGATCGTCTGGAATAGAAGCAATAACTGGTATTAAAACCAAACTCCATTTTACTAACTGCTCTACTGAGGACTCAAATTTAGCCGATGTTAGAACATTCTTTGAGAATCCTGAATTCTGTCTGACAAAAACTGTTCCAAATTATTCATGACCTGCTCAAAGTATGACATGATGTGGATGCCCAGTGCGGTCAAAAGATATAATGTTTTCATCACATTCTCAAACTTTGATTTTACTCATTTCTAAATTTCTGGCATGTCTAACTCAAATATGCATTTTAATTAAATATACTGGTAAGAAGTTAATCATTTCCAGATTAGACAGCACTTCGCACCAACGTAACAAACCTTGTAAAACAGGTTGATTTGACTTGGGATATTTTGCATTCTAAAAACTGACAATGTAACTTATGTATATTCTCGCAGGATCATTTTTCTAGGGACCAAAAGAATAAAACTAGAAAAAAAGAAGAAGTTAAAGTACCAAGTTCATTGGATACAAATGAGTCTGTTTGCACTCTTTCACAGAACTTGTAGGTCTCGCAGCACACCAACACAGGCACATTGAATGCTTTGGCAACCAAAGCTATTTGAGATGTTCCCACCCGTGACATCACATAACCATTGGCCAAGAGTGCGTGGGCACCAACAAACACCTTAGACACCTAAAAAAAAAGAATAGACAGAAATTAGTCAATCGGGCAGTGTCAATTTGTCAAATCTCCAAAAGTTCAAATATTTTAATTGCAATATCTGCTGCAGCAGAATTGCATGGTAGCATAATCCAAACAAATGATTTTCATTATTTAGAAAACTTAAATTGTGACAGCTCCAGTTCCTTCCAACAGTCCAAAGACATATTGGTAAGTTAACTGGCTTCTGGAAAAAACTGGCCCCTGGTGTGAGTGCGAGTGTGTCTGGGTACACCCTGTAATGGACTGGCATCCGGTCCAGGTATATATGCCACCTAATGCCCCTTGCTTGCTGGGATAGACTCCCGTCCTCCCCTGCACCCCTATACTGGAAAAAGCAGTTTAAAAAAAAACAGATGGATGGATGAATCTTGACCTTCTTGATAGAATCCTCTGTTACTGAAGTCTGGAAGTACATTTCTCAACATCCACCATTATAAAAGCCCACACTGTTGAAATGACATGACACACCTGAGCTTTAAGAAGAATATTTATCAGTACAGGTATTTCTGAGTGAATTACTTGCACAATAAATCCACAACTGGTCTGTTTCCCATGGCAGCACTATAACTAGGGAATAAGAAAGCGGTTAGTGCCATTGTAACCTCTTTCTGAGACTGTGACTCAAACACAATACAGCAAGCCTGGCATCGTGCCCATGCCAAAGACAGAGACTGACTGACGCTGGCTCACCTCGTGCAGTATGTAGGAGATGGCAGTGATGAGGACATAGGTGCAGCAGATGCCCTTCCTCACCAGCCTCCGCAGGGCCTCCCTGCCCTCCAGCCTGGGCCGGCTGTCCACAACAATCACACGGAACTTCCTGCCCCTCTCGTAGGCATCACACAGGATGTAGTTCACAAGGGAGGAGCTGCGAAAAAAACAGATCTGAGGTCAAGACCATCCAGCTGTTGGGTTTAGTGTTCTAGCAGGCTATAGCTGAATACGAAAACTGGCAAGACAGCTAGTTGACGAGAATCGTGACAGCACGTCAATGCCTTTAAAATGATTATTTGAATTACAGTTGTTTACATTGCTATCTTCAGGTACAAATATTTCTAAGTCAAATCAGTCTCTCTCGAAATCAGGTTTAGCTGGTTTTAAAAGGGTAGTGAACATGCGATAAATACGATTCAAAGGTCTCAAATTACTGAACCAGCATTCATTACAATAGTCTACACAAACCTATCTATATACAACATTCCAGCTTCAAAAGTATCTAAAGTTTGCTTAATAAAATAGACATTTGTCTCTTGGTTGTGTGGGTATCTTTAAAATACTCTCTATCATTTATTTTCTTAATTTTCTTACCACCCATAGACTAAGATCACATCTCCGTCACTGATTTTCTCAAAGGCAGATTTGGAGATGGCTTTCGCTGCCAAATGAATCTTCTCCTCAATATACCTATCGATACAGCTCAGCAGTTTAGACTTTGCCTAGAAAAGAAAGAATGGATCAGTTCACACTTTGTCAATGTACAGAGTAAACAGTGAAAAAAGTTTACTATAAAAAAAAATTATACTCCACATAGAAGGTGCTCTGACATTTTATTGAACAGGTGCGGCAGGTAAATTCATTAGATCCTAATTAATTAGAATTTGTCATCAATATCGGATCTATTCAGACAATTACGTAAGTAGCTTGTGTTGCCAGGGTTGGAAACAATACAAGCTGTACATCAGCAACACATGCTTTACACCAGATTGCAGATTCTTGTCTTCTCATACAGCATTGTCCATCAGGGCCCTATTCACTGGGTTCCGATTCCCACTTGCTCCACGTTGTACCAGCTCATTTGACAAGTGCTCGAAATTGAATAGGGATTCCACCGCAAAAGTTTCATATTCTCATCGTGCACGAAAGCTGGAATTTTCTAACATTAGGAATGTGCAACAATTGAGGTCACAGAACGTGCCATTAATCTGCCATCAATCACTACTTGAGGGAGTTCTGTAGTGTAAAGACACTCCTGCTCAGACCTTCAAACTTCCTTTTTGTTTGGTCTCTTCTATATAACGTCTGTACCATCATCGGGACGTGAGCAAATTAATACTTATGGGAACAACAATAGTGGAGTTCTGCGTTTCAGAAAACTACATAAACATCAGATGAACTTAATGATAAATCCACATCAAGTTGCTACTTAGTTTTCACCAAAATATGGGAAAGAAATTTCATTTTGGTTGCATTTAATTTAAGATCCAGAAAACTAAAGAGTTCTTCCTGTTATAGTTGAATGGCATACATCTGATCTCACCTCTTCTTCTTTGCACTGGCTTGAAATGTTGGAAATTTCTTTTTTTAGATACTTGATTGCATTTCCCATGCTGGCAGAGAGAGGTCGACACTGATTGAGAAAACTGCAAAAGCAGAGAGAAGTTGGTTACAGATAGAATGAATCTATCCGTGGAGGTTGACTCTATGCCAGAATGTAGAACTTAAATTGTGGCAAATGCAGATGATGGAAGGAAATAGGGCAATAGGGTGTGTAAGGTGGACAAAAAAAAAGAAAGGAGTGCTTGAAATAAGTTTCTAGCTACTTTATCCAGTACAGGGTCACGGAGGAGTGTAATCCAGCAAGCAACAGGCTCAAGGCCAGATAAACAGAAAATAAATAGCTGATTTTATCACATGTTGTTTTTCCATTATGGAATTAACCTCTACTTTTGAAGCTCATACAAGGACCGAGCCCTCCCCCTCAAAAACCAATTTATCCTTAAGTAAATAATTCTGAAACACAATAAAATTACAGATATTAAATACAGTCTAATAAATATTTATATATATTTCAGGTAGATGTTGGCCATTGTAAAGAATAAGGATACTTTGTTTTTATGTTTTATAATTGTTTATAAAATTAGGAAGCAATGTTTGGTACAACAAATGCTAGAAAGGTAAGGTTGAAAATAACTTTTAAAAAACCATTTAATCCCTTACACAAATCCCTTTAAACTGTAAAGTATTATTTTATTAAAATTAAAGTTTAGGGACAATAATGTGAAATATTCATCCATGACAGTAGTCTGGATAGTGTACGTATGGTTAATATATATTAACATTACCTTTTTTACATCTTGCTAATTTTAGAGAAAAATACCTTACATATGTAACTTGCAACCGTAATAGATGTTAACAGATTACTTTTAAGAAGTCCCCCAGCACTCAGTCAGTCCCAAAATAATGCTGAACAGAAACTATCTAGTTTCACGGCCTGTACAAAATCTCAGACACGCTGAATCTATATTGTAATTTAGACTTTCTGCTTTTTGATTTTAGTATCCTTTTTGATTTTAGTACCTGAGTTACAAGCAAAATGCCTAAATAAACCACTAAGGGCTCAAGGTAAACTTCTTATTTAAACATAACCATCCAATGCATCTGGGCGGTATACCATTTTCAATCGGTTTTATACTTATTAGAAAGGAGAAGCAGAGACAATGTATATTAACCAGTTTCAGAAAATGTGTTCAATTTAACACGTACTGAATCTTCCTTCTTTTGCACTAATATAATAAGGGCATATTAAGACACTGTGTGTTTAGTTAGGCATCTCAAATTTCAGGATAGCTGTACTTTTCATTCACAATTATACAGTTAAAAATAGCCTGAATTCTGAAATTTTAATTACAGGAAAACATCACTTCTGGTCAAAAGCACAGGAGGTTAGTACGGTACCTGATATACGGCTTCAGTTTGTTGACAAGGTCTCTGGACAACTCCTCATTTGGGGGGGTCGTATAGTCATGGATAATCTGTACAAATTAATTGGCAAAGCTTTTTCTGATGCACACAAATTAAACATGCATTCAATACTGCAAAACTGTAAAGTCAATTGGGTTACTTTTAATTAGTCAGAGAGGTTTAAATCATTTTGTATTTCAATCTGATTTCAACAGCATATATGATTAACAAAATCTGAATCTTCAAATGCTTCCAGCAAATGAAATGCAAGATTACCTCTAATGGAGTAGACCTGTCATTACAACTCTGGATGACAATGTGCAGCCACAAGTGAAGTTTGTGCGCTTCACTTGTGGACCACACCGCTCAAGAGGGTGCTAGTGACTCTGTAAATTGGTGTATCCAGGATGTTTTTGTTTTACTCTGGTGAAACTTTGTAGCTAACTAAACATGTAGACAGCATACGTCTTTTAAATTAGAGTTCAATGAGCTAAGTTTTCCTTTTGATTTGCTTCTTAAATTTGAAGCCTGAATAGAACACCGGGACCCTGTGCTTTCCTCCTGTCTCCGTGTAGACAGCAGTATTACCACATTCTAACCTGTTCTCATTGGATTTCAAGAGATAAGTTAGGTTTGGCCTTGTCAATACTGGTTTGGAAGACCTCCAGATAAAGACAGGTTGCTGTTATAAGTGATGCTGGTAAGCCAATAGGCAGCACTTTTCCCTCTGAACTGAAATTTCCAAGTAAGTACCCTAATATGGTGATCTGAGATACTGTGTTGTGGGAAGCATCATTCTTTGGATAAGTCCTTTAACCTACGTACTTACTATCTGTGGTCATTAAAGAGCCCATGGTGCTGTTCCTAAGAATAGTCGTGTTATTCTTAGAATAGACACAACAGACTGTGTTATCCTGGCTAAATTCCACTCTGAACTTGCACAACTGAGCACTCTTAAAAATCACCCTCAATTCTATTAGCGGAGAAGTGAGAAATTGCTATAATTGATCTGCTGTGCAGTGGATACTATTAATATTATTCATCTACCCATTGGTAGATTAAGTAGGTAAAGTGTTATATAAATGTGAGAAACAGCTAATAATAGTTATTACTTAATGTGATAAGTTACCCATAACCATGACTGAGTCAGGATAGGAGAACACAGAGGGTAGGCAGGTGAATACAGATCCAATTACCCATTTATTGTGAGCAATTAACAATAAGGACTGATCAAGTGCTGGAAAGTAGCAGCCTCTGCCTCTATTCAAGTGTGAAGTACCTGCTTGAAGCTGTGTAACAAGGCTATACAGCGGGAGTTGGACCCTGCAATGATGCCATGAGAATACTGCAGCCCTAGGCGCACAATAGAGGGGTGGATCACTGTGGAGGGAATGCTGCAAGTAAAAATATGACAGAAAATCAAACATCAAAACTGAGAGGTGAAGTGACTGCAAAAAGGCACACAATGCAAGTAAAAAAAAATGAGTCATCCTAAAAATGTTCACTTTGTCAGAGATAAAATACTAAGAACCACATATTATAAACTATTTATTTTTTTGTACAGAAGTGAAGTCCTACAATATTTTAAACACCTTTGGAAAAAATAAGAAGCCTACCTTATCTGCTGGGTCAGTGGGGCTTTTCGACTGTACTGATGCAGATGGGAGAAGAGACTGACTTTGTGCCCATACTCGGATCTCAGTGGAATCTAGAATAAAGAGCAGCAGCTGAACATTAAGTCGCCCAGTCTTGACACCAAGGCCTGAGGAACCCTGAGGTGGAGGTTTTTCTGCACTCAAGAAAACCACACAAATCAGAGCTTCATCTTGCCATAAGTCTGCAGGAATCACATAACATATACACCCACTCCTTCTTTTATGAATGATCGCTTTACAAAGTTTCATTCAATGTCACAGACGTCTCGGTATTTGAATTAATATTTTCTGAGACTTTTTTACTTTCACAAATACAGATCTGATATACCAGGCAACAGGAGGAGGAAGAAAAACCCACAACACATAGTGCCCAGTGTCACTCTGCTCAGGGGATCGATTATCCTTCACTTATCATGGAATACTCCGCTATACTGAATTCCTTTTGCCAACAAAACTACAAAACACAATGCACGTATAGCTACAAAGGAAACTGAACAGCGAAATACAACTATTATTTGATTATATTTGTAGAAATGAAAAAGGAAAATGTTTGACAGATATCTCCCCCGCAGTATATCTCGTACCATCGACTGCATTAACATTTCTTAATGCAGAGAAAATAAAACAAGTTGCTATAAAGAGCATGTTTTCTTACATAGATATGTGGTACTGGTTACTATACCGTAGGTATTTACAAAATTACATTTTCCATTAAATATTTACATTCAGATATAGCATACGTTATTTGTTTTATCATTTTACACAAAAAATCCCCTAAGTGGGCCAAACCCCTAGGGTCAACAATGCAGTCTGAATATTTAGCTTTAAAAAAATGTTTAAGAACATGCCCCATTCATAAAACAAGGAAGTGCTTGTATCACGTATACTCATGATCTAAAGAACAAAAAAAAAATGCTGCACATAGCTTCAGCAGTTTAGATGATCAGATAAAGATTTGGATATGTCCTGGACCGAAACTTCAGCCTGGAAAACCCAAGGGCTGTGATGTGCTAGGCTCCCTGCTGCAAACAAAAAAAACTCAAGCAGAGTTCTGAAAGGTTATTATTCAGCCCACCAAATAAAACAATGAAAATGTCAAAGAAAACAATTTAAGCTAGATCAGCTTAATTTCCCCGTCACTCATGAAGCAGCACAGTCAGTGTTATCTATTAAATCTGCTGAGAAACAAAACCAAAAAAGACACTTGGACTAACTAATGACTACTGAAAGCAAAGGCACTCAAACAGACACGGTCCAATCTCAGACCCAGACCTTGACTCCAGACACTCTCTTACTGCTGCCTCCTCGCAAAGTCTGAAAGAGATGGGGAGCACAGTGCAGCCAGTGAAAAAGAATAATACCTTACACTTATATAGCGCTTTTCTGGACACTCAGAAGCACTTTACAGGTAGTGTGGACTCCCCTCCACCACCACCAATGTGCAGCATCCACCTGGATGATGCAACGTCAGCCACAGTGGACACAGTACACTGACACCACATCAGTTATCAGTGGGGAGGAGAAGTGAGTGTTGAAGCCAGTTCAGAGATGGGGATTATTAGGAGGCCACGATTGATAAAGGCCAGGGGAAAATATGGCCAGGACACCGGGATAACACCCCTACTCTTTTCGAGAAACACCCTGGGATTTTTAATGACCACAGAGAGTTGAGACCTCGGTTTACATCTCATCAGATTACTAAATGACTATACTGGGGCATTAAGACCCACACAGGGTGGGCGCCCACTACAGGCCCCACAAAAACTGGGGCGGAGCGGTGGCTCTGTGGTTAAGGATCTGAGCCTGTGGCTGGAAGGTTGTCTGTTCAAATCCCGCAGCTGGCAGAGAAATCCTACTCTGTTGGGCCCCTGAGCAGGGCCCTTAACCCCAACTGCTCTGGGGGCGCTGTACAATGGCTGACCCTGTGCTCTGACCTCATGCTCTCTCCCTGTCTGTGTGTCTGTGTCTCATGGAGAGCAAGCTGGGGTATGCAAAAAGACAAATTCCTAATGCAAGATATTGTAAAGGGTTAATAAAGTGATGTTGTTAAATAGCTCTTCCAGCAGCAACCTTAGTTTTTCCCAGGAGGTCTCCCATCCAGGTATTGACCAGGCTCACACCCGCTTAGCCTCAGCAGGTTGCCAATTGTGAGTTGCAGGATGATATGGCTAGGTCAAAACACCCTCACTTGCAGAACTCAGTACCTAAATAAATTTACAGGGAAGTATACAAAACTAGATTTCCCAACACGACTTCCTAAACTACATAAAAAATACTGAATGAAAAGCATGGGAAATGATACAGCACAAGTACTGCTGACAAAGCAGTATTATGCTTTTCAAGGGTAAAAGCAAGATTCAAACAGCATGAGGCTCTATTAACTACTGATTTTTAAAAGATCTAGCTCATACTATTATTGTTTACCCTTCACCTAGTTTTTTAAACGAGCTCTACAAAGTTGTACAGAAAGTTTAAGATTTTTTGTAAATCTTCATCACCCATAGTTCATTAGGCAAGGTCGGTGTAACCTGGAGAAGCCTTATACCAGGTTTGTAAGTGAAGTGAAAAAGGCATTCACAGTCTACACTACATGATAATACTTCATCAATTTCCCTACAGGATTAATAAAGTATTATCTATTTATCTATAATGGAACATACTATACTGATTTTTTTCCAGGAGTAATATTTCTTGTTGCGTTTAAGCCAAAAGTGCCTGGAATTTCTGCATTCTTCAGGAGCACATCAGCTGAACCTTCAGTACAAATACATCATCTATCATTTCTTAAGTACTTCTATTTCATCCTGTTAAAATATCTTATTATGCTAACATTTATAGTCCATGTAGCATAATGTAGCTTGGGTATGTAGCAAACCCAGTCTAATCTGAAATTGGCTAGATGCTCCTAACTACTAGAAGATGAAACTAGGATGCAATTATTTGAGTAACTGGAGATTTTTTATTTGTTTCTTTAACCCAGGACTTAGGTAAGCCCCAGAACTCAGGTACTATCACGCTGCATAACAGCAGTCTTCCCGATGCCTCACGCACCCAGCTGAAAACAGACATTGCAGTATTTTTCCCCACTTTTTCACCTGTTGCCTTTCCAATTTCTTGGCCAGCTTCTTCAGCACTGCAGGATCATCCACTTGAATGTGCTCTGGAAGCCGCTTCACAACTACAGTGAAGGAGAGGGAAAACCAAAGTTTGCAGTAGGACTTCCAAACTCTAATCAAAAGACTGTTGATATCGTTCATCCAATGCCAAACCAATTCATCCCACAGCCCCAGCTGTACAGTAATACCACAGAGACAATGTTTCTATAATCTTCTTTACCTCAACAAGAAATTGATTAATTTTTAAGAGATCACTCCATTTATGAAAGGTATGCGAGTCAGACATACTATTATGTAAAGAAACAGCTACTTTTAGTACTTAATATATAACTACATAAGACACATGTGGGTAAACAGACAAATACACATTAATATATACGCCCTGATATGTTTTCATAAAAAAAAACAATTGGATACATGATCAGCACAAACTCGCTTTTCACAAGAACACTGTGTTTACACTCCTAAACAGAGCAGCAAATCTAGGCTTTTAACAGAGCTGTACCTGGCTGTGGTTCACTGGGAAGAGCCTTAGGCTTGGCAGTAGAAGGGGGCTGACCGGGGTCTTTTTTGCCTGTTTTGGCAGCTCGGTCCGCTTCCTGCCGGGCTCTTCTCTCTGCGCGCAGCTCTGCTTTGCTCTTGGCTGGGGCAGACTTCTCTACTCCTGCTGGGGCCTCAGACACCGAGCCTAACTGGGGAGCTTAAAAACAAAGCAATATCCACCGCTGGTTCAAAAAGCAAACACTGGTCAGGGGTTCACAGCTGTGTCGTCAAACAATGGGCTACTTTCACAAAAGCCACTCCAATGTATTTGACAAAAAAAGTAAGAATAAAAAACAATATCACAGCCTAAACGCACAGAATTTTAATTGGATTGTTCAGTCATGAAGTAAGAAGTAGAAACAGAACATGATATTTTATTCTGGATTTGGTTGACATTCCAATAGTTAAGTAAACTTGGTTCATTTTAAATACATTTTTTTTTTTAAAACGTTGATGCTAGACAAACACACAGTGCCTGATCTACCCACCCACACTCTTGTACGTCTTGGGGAATTGGTCCTCACACTGATTGCTTTCTCATTCAATAACTTTTTTTATCAGCAGGAAGGGACCCAGCTATTTAAATATTGCTGTCGACTGGGTAAAAGAACGCGTCTTCACTTGCCTACATTGGCTTTGTCCCTGACCTCTACAGGTGATACATCGATGACTGCGTCGGTGCTGCCACATGCTCCAGTGACCAATTAGAGTACTTTCTGAATCAATTCACCAACTTCCACCCATCCCTCAAAGATAAAAAGCACTGTGAAAACAGTATTTTGACCCTGAGCCGTGTAACCAGTGAGTACCGCCACGCGAGGGTGCCCCTCAAATACTCGCGCACTTGAAGTCCACACGTGCACTACGTCACAGAAGTGCGGACTTGGAGGAAGTGCTTAGAGCTCCGTACGAGAATTGGGACACGACATAAGCATTTCTGAATGTCTTTTGCAGCTTCTACAGGGTTTACTCATCATCTTACTTTGGAATTACATGCAAATTTGATGAATTTGTTAGCCAGAATCTAGATCATTGATATCAATTAGCAATAAGTGTTGACCAAATCCCAGTGGTTCTCCACAAAATACATCACCCCAGTCAGAACATTTCCTCTTATGTTTCCCCTCAGTTTCCTGTTCATTAACTAATTCTTAATCCAAGTATATTTATTACCTTGAATCCTTGTCATCTACAATCTAAGAATTAATCTTATGATAGACTTTAAAAACCTAATTAGAAATATTGTATGCTCTGTCTGTATTCATTGCCGCTGTTGGACATTCAAAGACCTCTAATCTATGCTGACTGTCCAGGTGATCCTTTAGCGTAGCCCTAATATTCCATGTAAAAGAAGTAAGACTAGATTATCGGTCTATAATTACTAGCTTCAATTTTATCACTGTTTTTACACGTAGGCGCTACATTAGCAACTTTTCATTCCGGGGGTATTACCCCAGATTTGAGAGAAGGCAGGAAGAGGTTTGTTAATGGCCTATAAATTACATGAATTGTTATGTAACAAATAAGGTTCTGGTGGTACAGGAACACTGCAATGATTAAAATGGCAGCAAGTCAAAGTCCTCTTTTAGAATGAAAAGTTCTGAACCCCTGCATGTCCCTAATAGGATGGTGGAAACCCTACTCTTCTGTCAATGTTAAGTGCACTCGCAGCCCCTACCTTTCTGTGTCTGGGTCTGCTGTCCAATGGCAGGAACAACTGCTTTCTTCTCTTTCTCATTGTCTGCAGAACCCTTGTCCTCCTTCTTGTTTTTCTTCTGCTGCTTCTTCTCTTTTCGCAGCCGTTGCTTCTCCTCCTTGGACAGCTCCTTGCCCTCAGCCTGAGAGTAGCAGGTGAAACCGATTGTAAAAGAGCAGACATTCAGTTCTGTCGTGAACGGAGCTTGCCAGGCGGGACTGCTGCTGCTGATTCACTGAAATATCTCAGGAAAAAGCCCTTAGAATGCTGAGCTAACAAGAAGAATACACAATACAAACTGGTTCCCCTTCTCCATTCCACAACTGTTATTGAAACTGTTTCATAGAAGTCTTATCATTCTGTAGAACTTCATTGATATCATTTCTGCAGCAGTTGTCGCTAACCAAATACCAGCCACATGCTGCAATGAAATGGTTATTATTTTCAGAAATCAAAAGGTATGGAAAATTATGTCACTAACATACTTACTTTGCAGATTAATAAATCTTTTTTCTTTGGGTCACTTTCATCTGTAAAAAAAAAGAAGAAAATTAATAACAGCAGCACTTTTAACACAAGATCTTTATATCAACTGTAGATGTGAATTCACAATGCTTTAAGGTGGCAGAATACTGTAAAGGATTGTGAATAGACAGCATCACCTTAGTATTCATGATGCATCACTTGTCCCATCCACAAAAAATATGGTTCATAGCACAGCTGCTATAGAGGGTTAATTGCCCCTCATGGCAAGAAAACAACGGGAGTCTCTCCAGTAGAGACATTTGCATGTCGAGCCCTTTGGTCTTATTGTCATAATTTGAGCCTGGGTTGTGTCACTTGCCCAATGGTTCTTAATGGTAGTTCTGAAGGCAAACTTTCGGTGCGGATCCTAATTCCAGCTGAGCTCTACATCACTAAATTTGTTATGTAATTGATCTACTTGATTGTTAGGAATTTTATTTAACTTGCTTCTTCAGTCAGTCCTGAATGACAAACTATTTCTAACAGCTACAGCATAGAGAACCTTATGCAGACTCTACTCAAAATGACCACATAAAAGCTGCCTATACAGCTCTTATAGTTCACCAATTGATGATAAACAGACACAAGTAGGAATGATACTCTATCAGACAATCTGTGTATTTTTTTTTCAACCTTGAAGAGGCAGAAAAACAACCCAGTAGAAAACTGAACTCAATTAGCCTGTGATTTAGAACTTGCCTGAAGACAAAATTAGACACCAGAGGTCTTTTCCAGGATCAGGATTGTAAAACACTGCACTAGCCCACTGTGACTGGGATTTCACAACCAGCAGCACTCACCCAATCAAGCACCTCCACCTGGGAAACCCCAGTCACAGTGGGCTACTGCCGACTGTGAAAACACACCATTACTCCAAATCTCAATCCTCTTTGTTTTGGAAAAAAAAAACATAACTTCCTCTTCATACAGTCTTCGGAGATATCACTTAAACCTAAACTTTCTTTTTATAGGCAATAAAATAGGGAGTATTTTATAGGCACACAACCACTAATAAAAATGCTCTGATACAAGACAAAGGGTCCATACTTGAATACTGAAACATCAAGACAGTTGAAAAAGTGGTGGTTTTTACTCAAATAATTCTAAACAGGGAGGTCAAGCAAGACAAATCAGGGCTCCTCAAGATATCTCAGATGCCTTGAATACAGAAACTTTCAAGTCTTCTAAACGGTAATTTAATTACCTCACTTTTCTGGTAGGGGATTCTCTTTATACATGTACCTAAATGCCTGCCAGACATGGAAATTTCTGTATCTGATGCAATGCACATGAAACGTGACACACGCTTCGGCTCCTGCATGTATTTTACTATAAACGTACAACTGAATTAACAAAAATGTTGCACTCCACTAACTAATAGTAGCAACACTGCAGCAGCAGATCTATATCCTCAGTTTCTAATGTAAGAAAATTCTGTACATGACAAAACGTACAGTTAACAGTGTGGTGTAACAACAGTGCAGACCTGACCATCCATATATCGGCATACACACAGGCCAATCTTCTATCGCCCTAGCTAAAAACAAACTCCATCTGGATCAAAACAAAGCTATTGTTACAGGCTGAGAAACCGGCTCACTGTTCTTATGGCGATCAAACAATTTCCAGGACCTTACCTTGCAACGCTGGGGTACTATCATTCCGTTGCACCTGGCCTCTCTCTCCTAAATCAGCCATGTTCAGCAACTAGAACGGTACAATTTGACACTCGATCCCATCATTCCGTTCTCCTCCCATGATTCAGTGCATTTGAACAACACAGGAGGTCCGCTGGAGGACCCGAGTGACGTCAGAGGTATTCCGGTTAAGGATTGTAGCAGTGAGCTAATTCGCCAACCGAATTAAATTTATTTCTGATGAAAAAGTACTAATGTAACTAACCTATTACTAACAACAAACATTTTGTAATCTAAATGTTATAAAAAAGGAAAAATCGCCTTAAGCGCTTTTACATTTTCTCTCCATTCATCACAGACTAATTCAAAAATGTTTGTAGTCTTCGCTTTTGTTTTCCCGTAACGGTACTGTAAATGTTATGCAAATTAAAATTTAGATGGGATCAAAATAACATTTATAGGACAAGCAAGTGACTGCAATGATAAATTATTTTTTAATTTCTCCCCACCCCCCACGGCAAAATTCATTAATGGTTAATTTTTTTGGACATTACGAGATTAAAACTATGTGTGGCGCTGTGCAATAGAACCGAAAGCCGGAGTATGTTTCTTGTCCAACCTCAAACGCATCGCATTACTCCGTTAGATATTTTAGAGATGTTTTGTACTTAAGTATTTTAAATTATACTCACATCAGAATTACAATGCATTGCCCTAATGCCCCACTATAAAGTGTGCGCATAGATATAATAATAATAATAATAATAATAATAATAATAATAATAATAATTGCTCATACTTATATAGCGCTTATATTTTCTGGACTCTCCACTCAAAGCGGTTTACAGGTAATGGGGACTCCCCTCCACCACCACCACCAATGTGCAGCCCCTGTATCATCAGTGATATGCATGTATCATATTCGAACTTGAATGTAAAAAATGCAAAAGGATATTGAACACCAAGAATCAAAAATCGTACTGTACTTTTTAAATCCTTCTCAAAAACATAATTACCTTTTTGCAGTCAAACGTATTTATTAAGTACATATGTATTGTACTGTATATAAAAAATAGTTGGTTTTAAAAGCGTGCTAAAATGTTCCTGAAAAAACATGCATTGTTACAATAACTGGAAATTAGAGCTGCATTATAGAGTGTAATCACTGTTTCTTAAACTAATGTGTTTTTTACACTTTTTTTTTACACTAGTGGGTGTCTTTTGCTTAATATTCTTTAGTTGGTATAGAAATTCTAATGTTTCATTATATTGTCATTGGTTACAATCCAGCTCCTGGGCCCTAGGTTTGATTTTAGCACAGGGTGCCATCTATGTGGAGTCTGCATGCTCTCACCTTGTCCACATTGGTTTTTCTTTGAGTGTTCCGCTTCCTTTCCACCTCCCAATGATGTGCTTGTCAGGATAACTGTTGTCTTTAAATTGTCCCTGCGTGTGTGTGAGAACTGCAATGGACTGTTGTCCCATCCAGGACGTAGTCCACCTTGCAGTATGCTTCTGGGCGTAAGCTATGGTTGCCACAATTCATACTAGGCTTCCTAAGATTGGATGATGGTCACACATTTTCTGCACAGCAGTATAATGTGGAAACACTGGATGTCTCAGTTCTTGTATTCAAACGAACTGTTTAAAATCAATTTATTGGCCATATGCAATTTCTTGTATTAGGAAATTGTCTTTTCGCATACCCCAGCTTGTTCTCTATGAGACACAAAGCCACACAGACTGGAAGAGAAGCTTGGGGTCAGAGTGAAGGGTCAGCCATTTATACAGCACCCCTGGAACAGCTGCGGTTAAGGGCCTTGCTCAGAGGCCCTACAGAGTAGGATTCCTCTGCCGGCCGCTCCTTAGCCACAGAGCCACCACATGTAGGCCCCGTTAGACGACAACCCACAGATAACAACAAAAGGCTTTATGATCAGCATTAATCTATTCATTAATGTTTTATGAAACATGAAGAATAAAATATCAATGCACATTGCTGCGCTTTACAAACTACTAATGCTAACTTCTAATCTCACAGAGGTAATATTGTGTCTTACTGCTGTCACTATGAAGGTTAAGAAAGATCAACTGTATATAACACAGTAGACATACTGGAAGGTTAATTGGCTTCAGGGAAAATTTGTCCAGGAGTGAGTGTGTGCGTGATTGTGACTATGTATTTCTTGTGACAGACTGGTATCAGATTTAGGGTGTATCCTGCATTACGCCCAATGCTTGCCAGGATAGGCTCTGGCACCCCTTACCCTGTATTCGATAGAGTGGTTAAAAGTGGATCGATGTTGGACATTACATGGATGTCCGTAATGTAACAACTACATGTAAGCAAGACACCCATTCACTGTATATTCTCATAATCCTTTGCTAACCAAATATGTGTAAAATATTGACAATAGAGAACTGTGTGCCAGGAGAACACTGAAGAACACTGCTCACCTCATAGCCAATGTACCTATAAAACAGATGACTGTACTGGAAAGGGTGTGCGTAGGTCATAGATCTTTGTGAAACAGTTTCTATGGGTAACAACACCACCTTGTGGTCCCATATATACAAAACTGTAAGAATTTGCAAATAGTGCCTTAATAAGTAGTTCAAACATACCACTTCCGTTTGGTTTGGGTTGTGGCTGTGGCAGCTTTTCTGTTCACACAAGCAAATGACTCAAGATCTATAAATATTCAAGATGTATTACCAACTCATCAGTAATAATCTTTCTCTTAAAGTGGGTATGTTCAGCTGTATTCCAAAACGCTAAGACTCACAATCACAAGCCATTTAAAAGTGTGATTTGATGCCATTTCACTTTGTTGAATCCTTATTTTGAAAGTCTCTCAATGTGTGCAGTTCTTACTTCAAATTTTAAAATATATCAAGATAGCAGTAACTTCTTAATATTGTTGGAACAGCCTCTGATAAACTTTCAGTGGATTCAGAAGCACTGAAAAAGGGTAATGCACAAAGACATTTTTTCAAAGACAAAAGCTACATAGTTTATTTAGTTATTTTTGTAAAGTATGCTTCCCACCCTGCAAAAGAATCATGGCCATAAGAGTCTAATGTAGCAGAGCTTAAGAAATGCATCAAGTATGAAATGTTAAATATTCTGTTGGCATGTAATGGTTTTTAAACAATTTTGACACTGTACTGAAAGGTTGGCTAGGTGACTACAACCTTAAAGTGAAGCTTGAAAGATGACATATATCTAATCTCTTTTGAGAAACAGTTAATCTACAAAGTGTTACTCCCGACTATTAAAGCCCAGATTTTCCTGTCTGCATCTGTGTTTATGTTTCCTGTGCGGTTTCAATTATGTGACTGAGAAAGTGAAATGTGCGTATAAATAACATGAAGTAAGAGAAATACAATACATTGTATTTTAAGCATAAAGTCTTTGTACAGTATTCATAACATGATGTTCTAAAAAAGCAAGTCTGTTTTTCCAGTTAAATGTTTTTTTAAAATAAATGTAAATAAAATAAAGTTTTTTAGTTTGTTGTTTCAGTTGATTTGAGACATTTTAAGTGGAGAGTTTTATGATAGTGATTTAGAAGCCTTGTCATTAATTATTGATAAATCACTATTTTTAGTACCAATATGAATTTTGATATGTACTGTTATTGCTCTAGTAATACTTTTGTCACCCTGTAATATCTCAGTGCTAAACAGTGGTCTTTATCTGTGGGCTGTGGGCTGTGTCTGCGCAATAACGTACAGCTACGCTCTGCACAATTCCTGTGGGTTTTGTGTAGTTTTCCTGCATAATGTACAGGCATTCTGAACGTGCACAGCAGGCTTTTTAAAACAGGTGCACGATAGAAAATGAAATACTGCAGCATTCCTGCGTGCACATTTGTAATCACTCAGATTACTGCTAAGAGTCCTGCAGGGACAGAACCCAGAGAAATACATCCTACAAGATTGCTGTCAGAAATTAAACTGATGTTCATTTATTACGTATTTTATTTAACAGGCACAAATCCTGGGCACTTTAGGGTATTAGTTGAGTGTGGGTGAATAGGGATGTCCTGTGACAGCAAAAATTTTGGAAGGGATGTCTTTAGCAGCCCATTGTCTGACTCGGCAAGCTTGTAAATTCAACAAAGGAACTAGAGCAGAACCAGTTTTATCATCCCCCCCAAACTGAAAATTATACTCAAAACTCTTCGTCTCTTGTTGGTCATGTTTTTATAAGCTTTTCTTTTTATCAGAATAAAACTTTATTCAGTTTATGATGCCTGCATGAGAGAGGATTTTAGACACTTCGTCAAAATGAAAAACAGTTAAACAGTTTGAAAATTAAACATGTTTAATATATAGTTCATTTACTTTAATGGTCTAACAGCCTATCATGTTTTGCTTTTCAGGTACTGTATTCATAAACTTATGTTAACATTTATAAATATGGTAAAGGTAAGTTTCGTAGAAACCAAATGATGAAACAGAATACAATGGAAGACATGAAGACAGCACAGTTCACACCTCTGTTTCAGAAGGAGTTGAAGTACACTGATGTCGATACTCATTCCGAAATATAATTGCAAAAATAAATAAAAAATATTCAGTGTTAATCAAAAGTTTATATCATATTCTTTGATCCCTCTTCATTTATTGTTTTCATTTATCTCCATGTTTTGAAATAGCTCTGAGAAACGATTATTTTAAGACGTGTCTCTCCTGGCAAAATTAAGCAGTTGTAAAATCCCACAGAAATCCTTTAAAAGGATATTTACTGAAATCTTTCAAAATCCTTTAGAGGTCCTACAAGTTACTGATCAAACCTACAGTGTAGAAATCCTGTAAAAGTGATGGTTTTATCTTTTATGAATCCTGTAAAAATCATAAACAAAAATACATATAAAACCTGAGAAGATCCTGTACATTTATCAACTTGTACTAAAGGGATAAAGGAACGCATTATTGCCCACTTCTGCAGGAATACTATAGTAAAATAAAACGCTTTTGTACAGGACATTTCTCTAAGAAGTATAGACCTTTTCGTTCTGCCGGTTAACGTACTGTACATGCAATCCTTTATACAAACTTCCACGTTATTAAAAGGTGCTCATTTCGCGGGCCTTTGTTCACATTACATTTACATAAAACACACTCTGTCAGATTAGTTTTAAAAAATGATTGATCAGTATATATTGATCAGGGCTGATCTCCGAAGAGATCACTCTTCTGTGCCCCAAACACACAAAGATATACACGGCAAATTCACGGTAGTTAATGAACCTTGTCCAGAAGATGTAACTGGGCATCTGATTCAAGTTCTTTGAATATACATTCACCTAGCTGTTTTTGTATGCAACCGCTGCAGCTATTCAGAGCCTGTGGAGTCTGCAAACGCTTGATCACCTGACCTTTCAGGTTCCGCGAGAACGTACCATGAACCTAAAGGGTGAAAACCTGTTTTATGAATTGTGTTTGAAGTGTGAAAGAGAAGAAATAATTGTATATATCACGAAACATTTAAATGTTTTTCTTTATTCACTATAAATGTTGTATTTATATATTTCAATTAACGAGTTATGCGGAATTAGTTATTTCATAAATCAATTTATATTCCCCCTTTTCCACCAGGATAGTTTAGTCCCGGGGCTCTGTGTTGCAATGTACTTGTGACAGATGCGAATTTCCACTTTTTAAAAGCAAAGATTTGGAGCGTGATAGCAGAAGGAGAATATTTATTAACTCCGCGTGTTTTATGTTTTCTTTTTGTTGTTTGATCCCGCGATGGTGTGATTTCGGAAGAGCGGTTACTCTAAACAGCTACTCCGATGAGGGGAAAAAAATACATGCGTACGTACCATTAACAGTTGAAAGGGGGAATCTGTAAAAAAATATACAAGCTTGTTATGGGTTTAAAGAATGCAAAAAGCAAATAGTATAGTTATTTGAACGCGTTTTACGAAATACACTGTAAATCGCATCTGGAGGTCAATCAAGAGAAACATTTCATCCAGAGACGGAGTTTACAGCACAGTACTTACAAACACCTCTCAGGACGGTGGAATTACCTATCATCGCAACATGGCTGCTGCAGGGATATTAGGGAAAGTTTAGCTACTGACTTGACTTAAGTTTTCATTTTAATTTCTTGAGGCGAAAACGTTGAGTACGCGGGGGGCTGACCTCTTTAGTATTTCGTTTGGACAGACTGCCGTGATACAGTCCACACCGCCCGAGGGAGGAAAAAAAAAAGAGAAAAGCGCCCGTTCCCCCCTGTACATTGTTTTTTTTTTTAAGAGTGCTTTTATTGTAGGGTACAGTACATTCTGACTGGAAGATTTTATGTTTCCCTTTCCCGACCCTTTCTTAAGTGTATTCTAACATTCCCTGCTATTTGTGGAACAAAGAGCATTTCGTGGGTTTTGCTCAGAAAGTACAATGCATTTCTCCATTCCCGAGACGGAGGTTCGTGCCGGTGACAATGGATCTACCTATGTGGTGAGTACACGCATGGGGTAGCCCTGCCTAGCCACCCTGCAGGGGCTTGGGCTTGGGCTCTTACAGCTGGGGGGGGGGGGAGGTTACCAACATTGTCATCGCTAGTGAAATATCCTCGAAGTCTGAACTGTCGTCCTCCCTCGCACCAATGTCGTGATGAGGTTGCGCGATTCTGTTAACGACCATCGCTGAATTGCCCAGACTAGGGTAACTCGGCTCAGTTTAGAAATCCCCCAGCTCTCTGGGCAGCAGTCGTTTGCCGTCTTGAAAATGTTACTTATTGTTTACGTTGCCTTACGTGAAGCTTGTAATGTGTAGCCTTCTTAGTATATTTCCCCACAGTGTTTAGAGTTCTGTCTTCCTCCCCCCCGAAGACAAAGAGGATGCTTTCTGGAGTTGAGTAGCTTTTTATTGTGTTGCATTAGAAATACAGTGGTCAGAATAGAGGGGTGAATGACATAAAATGTCAAGTTAATAAATCCCAAGTTCAAGAGGGAATCGGCCTTTCTCTAAACAGACAGCTCAGTGTTTGCATGAAGAAGTGCTCTAGATTGATTTGTTTTTGGCTTAATGAGGGGGATGGAATTTTGTGTCTTGTTTTTTTTTTCTTGCGTTCCTCTTGAAGTTGAAGTCCAGTTTTTTCTCTTGGGCATAAAATACTTTACATAGCGGGCCAGAGATGTACTTAGCTGTGATAAATTTTGTTTTGCTGCATTACGCAGTTGTTTGCTCTATGGAACGTGCTGTAATATTATATATGTGTAAGTGTCATTTACTTTCTACGTGAAATGACCAAACGTTTATGCTGCATTTTGTCATTACTTTAGGCTAACACTGCTGTGACGCAGTAGCTTTTTGTAAATCGTGCACTCGTAACACATTTCTAGACGATTTAGCCTGAATGCGCAGAAAGTATCTTAAGGTGACGGGACAACAAAATCTGATATTTTCTGTTGCAACGTAAGTCTGGAAAATGAAGCTTCATAATATTCTTTTATAATGCATTCTTTGCAGTGCCTCTGACATGGTTGAATGTAGGCTAATAAACTATACTCATCCCAATTCGTTTATGACTAATTAACCTATATTTTAGTTAACAGTCGATTTTGAAATAACTTTTGCCAGTTGAATGTCCCACGTGGGGTTTGTTAAAATATTGAAGTATCGTCAATGAAGTGACATCCCTGATGTATTTCTCAAAGTGAACACAGCAATGAAATTGATCACAAGTAACAGAGCAATGTGAACTTGATGCCCGTCTCCACATACGATATTAAGTCCTCACTGTACTCAAGAAGGCATACCAGCAGGATATATAGCAACTGCCCTTACTGCTGTCTGCGTTTACCAGGATCTTATTCAGAAGCGGTTGGATATGTATTTCATTTAGCACGTTGAGGCATGAAAATAGTTTATGTGAAGGGTTTTCTTTACGTGTACATCACGTTTTCTTTCAAATAACTAGTGAGGTTTCCATTGTTGTTGAATATGTTTTATTTACTTTTAGAACATATAACTGTGATGATGTTTTGGGAAATCGCAGATGAAGAACGTTAAAAGCAGTTGGTGACATGGAGTGGGACAGTGGTCAACAGCAATAGTGATTGTGTTTGACCTAGGGGATACATGCTACTGTTTGCATGCATGCTAAATCTTGTCTTAAAAGGTGTAGCAATTTGTTTCCAATCTAATTCTTCAATATAAATTAATACTCAGAAATATTTTCACGTTTTTAAGGATGTTCCTGAAATTTAAAGCACCTTACTGACTTGATAACCTGCTAAACAAGTTTTACATTAATACTCTTTAAAGTTGAAATAGTTTTGAAAGAGCCAATTATGTAGTTATCCACTTAGCATCAAAAGTGATCATGTACTTTATTATAATTTCATTCCTCTTGCTCTTTAAAGGCAAATCACTGATTACAGTGATACCATTTGAAATGATACAGTACCAGTTTGTGCTCTATTTCTTAGTGATTACCAAATCGGTATCACAGTGAGAGTCAAATGAGCTAAGCAGATAAAATAAATGTAATCTCAATCAGATTGATCAAAGTTATAGTATTGTGTATTAAAAGCTGACATTTTGAAATTTAATTAATCTTAAGCAATATTTAACCTTTTTATATATTTATATTTTTGTAATAAATTGTGTTCAGTCAGAAATACAAGTGGGCTCCCCCCAAGAGCCTTAAACTAGAAGTTCCTGCTTCTTGTCTGGGGTACCTACAGTACACACCTACTGGATTTTGTTGTACCTGAGCACTCAGATAAATAACTGAACCTTACTAGACTTAATAATAGGCTCAGTCTCAACTCTTTGTTCTTTTACACATAGCAGGTTGCCTTTTAACTATCATATTTCTTAAGCAATTCAACGTCTCCAACCTTTGAAGAGGGAAAAAAAAAAACCCTGCAAACGTTCTAACCAAGCAGCCCATGGACTCGGCGCATGGCAAAGAGCTCAGCCGCAATGAAGACCAGGAGGTGTGTGGAAACGAACTAGTTATGGCTTAACCAGTAAAAGAGCTCATCTGAGCTCAGGTCGACCTGCGTTGAGGTCCGAGTTGGGGTCACGACGGTACCCAACTGTGATGCTCCCAAGAGGCGGCGCGCGAATAGTTGGCCCGGGCGTTGTCACCTGTCAGCGCACGCCGTGTCGCCTAGAGTCTCCTGGGTGCTGCTGCTTCTCCTCCAGTCTGTGCGGAACGAGAGGGCCAAGACAAAGGCAGCAGCCATTCTTCATTGAGTGGGATTAGCCAAAAATAATTGGCCGGTGTGTTTTTTAATATCGGCACTGTCCGTTTGCAGATGGGAGGCCGCTGTTCAGCTAGATGGTCTTGGCTAGCCAGGGCAAAGGTTTTTGACTACGTGTGTGGGTAGCTTGGTCCCGATTCTTGTAGTCCTTTCAGTAAAGAAGTGCTTCCCTCTCACTTTAAGATGAACGCCCCCTTTCCTTTGGTGTCCTCTGGGTCGTGTTTCACTGTGGATTCTGATTCGCTTTTGGATCCCGAGGACTGATTTTGTTAGTGATTTTGAGGACTTGAGGTCCCCTCATTCCTGGTTTAAGAAAAAAAATTAAGTTAGTTTTAGTTTTATCCTAGCAGAGCAGGACTTGCCCTTGAGCCCAGACATGTATCTGCTTTGTCTTCTCTGGTCTGTTTTTTGTTCCAAGAATTGTACACGGTATTTAAAGTGAGGTCTTAGTTAATGCGTGTCCAGTACTCCGTGATTTAAATACTACATTTTTAGGTCTGCCAATCTGTATTAACATTATTGTTTTTTATTATTCCCCACATTGACAAATGGAATGTCGACGTGAACATCTGAGCCATTTTTATGATCAGTTTCTCAACCTGGCTGGAACACTCTGTACGCGTCTAGATGCTAAATGTCATCTACCAAATGGAAGTTGAAGTCTTTTTGAATTCCATTTTAATTATGTACTTTTTACCGATCCTTCTATACCAGTATTAAAACTTGGTGTAACTCTACGAGTGTTTAGATGATTGCTGTAAATTGCAAAGAACAGTGGTTCTGTAAGTGTTAATTATACCCCCCAGTTGGAGCATTTACCTTTTAGATGTTTTAACATAACTAGATCTTAAAGCAAATGAATGCATTTCTTGTAATGCCTTCTGCCCACAGTTTGAGAATTAAATTTGTGCCTTCTTTTTATAGAACTTTATTAAAGGTATTCTGAAAAATCTAAAAACATCACATCGTATTCTCTGTGTCCATTCCCACTGTTGTTTTTTCAATTAACTCGAATGTGTTTGGTAAGCAAGATCAAGATAGTTTTCTAAATCCATATGATTTATTAGCATATAATGTCTTGGTTCAATTTCTGTCACTGTTTTTATGGATGGGTGCTACATTAGCTGATTTGCAGTCAATGAGTTTAGCCCCTTTCTGGAGTGACAGTTAAGGATGAGTTTCACTAAAGACTTACAGATGACATCTTGTTTCTTTAATTGCGATGGGTAGAATATCATCAGGTCCTGTTGATTTTCTTTGGATTTCCCCCCTGCGTTCTAGTTTAAATGGTCGTGAATTTCTTTGAAGATTCCGAGCCCAAGCCTGCTGGTTCCCTTGTTGTCCTAATTGAATTGTTAGTGCATGCTGGCAACATAGCTGTAAAACAGACCACAGCTAAACGATTAATATTCTTATACGGACTGATTGTTTTAACCTGACCCTAAGGTGACCCTAACATGATGTGGTACGTTTTTTCTTCATTTTGTGATGTACTGCTGTAGATCCTCTTATCTTTTGCAGATTGTTAGATTATTAAAACTATTAAACCTGCACAGAGATTTTTAATGTTAAGAGTTTATGTATGCTACAGGCATGATAAAGCTGTGTAAAATGTCTTGCTGGTTTTAACCACACGGACCTATTTAAAAACATGTCTTTTTAAAATATAAGAAGGTGTAAATAAATATTCCACTAATTATTAAACAAGCTTGAGAAATACAGTATTCTGGGAAAGCAATGTGTATATCGGGTGATACGGACAATTTAAATTTAGAATACATTTTCTCAGTTTCAGCAGCATGGAAAAAGTCACAATATATGTTTGTCAAGGAACACATCACTGTCAGTTTTGTTGAGTAGAAGTGTCATTCATTGTCAAGTATATTATTTAAATGGTTTTGATTGCTTGTGTATTTGATGCGAAAAATGTGTCTTGGAAAGGCTAAATAATTTGATAGCTGATACTGTAAATATTGGTTTTGTAGGTGTTTTAATTTAGCTTTGTCCTTTTTTTTCTGGATTGTGCAAAAGAGCCGCAATGAAGTAAGAATGGAAAACAGAGTCTGGACGTAGTTTTGATGGTGTGAATTAATGCAGTGTGCATATAAGAGTCATTTGTATACCAAGTAGCTCTGCAAAGTAATGATTGCAACGTCAGCAGCCAATTATTCCGATTACAAGATTTAAAGCCAACTTAAAACTGATTAGTAGTCAAATTATTCTTCATTCCTGTGAAGGCTA